CATATCTTCCAGTCAACAGGTTCTGGGGTCATGTAGCTGGGAATTATGGGTTTGTAATTAATATTCCTAGATGTCAGGCTGATATTTCTCCCTTAAAAGGGAAAAGTAGTACTCTAATACTATGTATATCCCACCTTTTAGTCATAGAACTCTAGAAAGTAGTCCTTGGAAATTCTGACTGCAACCACATTCAACTTTAGCAAGGACACGGTGCCATATTTTTCATGTGAGCTAGTATTGCATAGTAGGAAAAGTGGCCCCTTATTCCTGATGCTGGATAACCAGCCTGCCCTTTAGTGACAGGGCTGCCTTACTTCTGAGATCTCAGCAAGGAAGTATCCATGGAAAATCCCTTTTGAAGCTACACCAACCAAATCCCAGATCACATTTTTAACACCAGCAAAGCAAATAAATTGCTAGGAAAGATAATCAAGAATGCTAATTAGGAATAAGTGCCTGACAAACTAAAAATAGAGATAATTAAAGAGGTCTGCTGAACGCATGCAGATTGCATTCCTATCACTATATCAGGATACAGGTAGTCCTTGTTTAGTGACTGCCTTGTTTAGTGACTGTTTGCAGTTAACGATGGTGATGAAAATGTAACTTTACAACCAATCCTCGCATTTACAACTTTTGTGGGTCTGTAAAGCAAAGGAAAGCTGAAGTAAGATCATAAGCACGGTTGCGGTTTCACTTAGTGACTGCTTTGCTTAACAACCAAGTTGCTGGTCCCAATTGTGGTCACTAAATGAGGACTACCTGTACCTTCCTCATTCACATCTGACAGACAGAACTCCCTTGCCAACAACTTCACCTCACCACATTTGACTGCATCCTATTTTATGTTCAACCCTTTTATTATTTGTAATCAAGTCAAGTGGCCTTATTGATGAGACTATCATAAAATAAATGCTTCTAGTAAGTTGCTTCTTGGCAGCGTGAATGTGCATATTTGCTTGCATAGAAGCAAAAAATCCTTGAAGCTAGGCTTTCATATAAAGTATGCTGAAATCTGATTGAAAGTGCTGTTCCAGAGAGAGAGTGATATGGTGAAGAATATAATCCTAGATGTAGTTGAACAGGCTAAAGTGTCCATTTGGGAGTCCTGATTTGGAGTCTGAAAAGTGTGGTCAGTGAATGCCTACAGTTGTGACATTTACCCTCTACCAGCAATTTCAGTTCAGCCAGCCTCAGCCAGCCTCTCTCATCTCTCAGGTGATACAAATGCCAAAAGAAAGCACCATTGTTGCTTGACCCGCTCAATCTTTCATGCAAGAGGTCAGTGGTGAATTATGGGAAAAATATGTATTCTGTCTAGTAAAAATACAAAAAGCAATAACAATATTTTGGCAATAATTTTGTGGGGGGGGGACATTTGTTTTCCATTTTTCAGAAACTTTTTGGGTAAAATGTAATTGCTTCTGGCAGTCTTCCCCAACCTAGTGTTGTCCAGCTGTGTTGAACTACAACTTCCATCAGATGATGCTTATAGTCCAGTGCATCTGGAAGTATCTGGTTAGAAAGGCTGGCTTGAGGCTTGGCTTTTCTTCAAACATGATAGACTCTTGATTCAATCAGCATGTTGCTTTGCTTTGTGGAAAGAAGATTGCTGGCATCAGCAAAAACACCCTATTCTTTATCCTGAGGAGTTTCAAATGTAAATTTTGGCTATAATTTGACAGTCAAAGGAGGGAAAGGAACAGCAAAAGCCAAAGTCACAAACTGTGAAGAGAAGACTGCTAGAAGAAGAAATACACTTTGAGCAGGACAGTCTTTTTACTCACATTTTCTCTTTCTCATAACAGAATACTTGACATTGCCAAGGCGATGAGACTGAAGATCAGCAAAAGCAAAAACCTCTCTGGACTTGAGGAACACAAATTAGGGACGCTCTGCTTGCCTTTACCGGCACGCAAGGTGCCCCTGGGCCGCAGGAAACGCAAAATGTATTAGAAACGGTTTCTTTCTCTAGGGCTTACAGCAAGCTGGACAACCTTACAGGTCATCTGAATAGAGCTCCTGCCTCATTGTCCTGAAAGGACTGGAAAGATTTGTTCTTGTAATGATATAGTTTTATTTCCCTCTTGGGGTAGTTTAGCAAAGATGGGCACTTTTATTGAATTGCTACATTGTCATTTGTGACATCTGGACATTTGGCATCTTGGTTCAAAACAATCATCTAGGAATTGTTTCCTCCATCCATATAGTTAAAATGTGAGCATAACTGAATAGTTAAAATGTTACTTTATATTTTTGATATTACTAAACATTTTAAGAATTATCTGTGCTTAATCATCTTCATTTAATTATGTCTTTGTCTTTGTTGTAGCACTCCCAACCAATCTGTCTATAGATCTTGGGTTAATTTTTGTCCTAGGTTCCTTTCAGCTTTTTATCTCCCTTTTTTTAAATAAAAGTGCACTTGAAGATTCAGCTGCTTTCTTTAAAGCAGTGTATGGTTTGAACAAGGTGAATCATCTGAATGCTGAAATGATATGTTTTACCTCTGATCAGTGCATGGAAAGCAGGTGATTGCCATAAAGAAGAGAATGATACAACACTCTTCTCCAGCCTGGTTGCCTATAAATGTATTGGACTTTAACTGCCATAATTCCTAGCCAACACAACTGAATAAATGTTGGTAGAGCAATCCAGACTTCTCTATTAAGACCATTTGGTTCTTCTTGGACATAGACACTGGAGAGCTATCTGTCTCTTCTGTCCTTTCCACACTGTGCCTTACATTCCTTCTATCTAATTCCCCAGAGTGCTGTCAAATTCTTACTAGGTGAACCATATGTTTTATAAACACATAAGCAACACATACACAGCAACACATTACATCTGGCTAAAGTTGGTCTATCACTAACCCTTCTGCGGCTAAAACTTTCTTACGGTGGGGTGGAGTTATAAAAAGTACTAATAAAGGCAAGTTCATATAAACTGAATTTTTGGTGCATATGCAGTGTCTGAGCTCTTTTCTGACTCCCACTTTTCTCTCACACAAACAACTCACAAAACACTTGCTGAATTTCTCTTTTTATGCAGTTATTGAAGACACAGGAACACTCTTATTCTTTGCCTCTTGTCACCTTCCATAATGTAGCTGGAAAAAATAAATCAGTGAGCAAAATCTCTGCATTTAAAATAAAAGTTTTTTATTTTGTAGTACACAGATTTTCCTTTATAAAACTTTACATTGACTATTTTGTATTTCTTTTAACAAGATACATGGAACAGATTACCACCCTCCTCCAGTTATAAGCCTTAAAAACTTCTTAAAATATTAGTGGTGTATTCAGTTACAACTAAAATGCTTCAACAAGTGAACTGTGGCTCAAATGCATTTATAATTATTTGTTGCTAACAGTGCATTCTCATGTTTATTTGGAAGTGAGATTATAGCAGAGTTTACTACCAGGTATATGGTATAAAATTGCAGGTTAAAAGTCAAAAAACCAAGGCAATTAAGTTAGTCACAACTAATTGTTTAATAAGACATTCAACTAATTGTTTACAGTGGACTGAGAACTGTCAATGACTTGTCTGCAATTGTACACTTGTTTATTAGGGAGTATGTCCTACTGGCAATGTCCTACTGGTTAGAAAAGTTGCTTCTATTAAGTAGAAAGTTTCTGATCCTGCAGCACCTCTGGTAGAAGGCAATGGTAGACGCTAGTTGATTCTCTCTTCTTGCTTGAGAAGGCTTGGAGATCTGGAAGCATGGAGCTGCAGAGGGAAGGCCCAGTTGGCAGATTTCCCCACTGTCCACCAGCAGGATTATTTTGAGTGCATTCCACTGAGGGAAATGCTTTCTACACCTGAAAAACTGGATCCAGCCATGTAAAAATACTTTTGGCTTGCTTATTTTGCTGACTTGCAGCTTAAGCCAATGCATATTTACTCCAAAATGGAATAGTTTCAATGGGACTTTCCTAAGGGTGCATAGGATTTCATCCCCAGCTGCAAAGAATTTCTACAAAACCATGCTGTTTTGTGCATTACCCCTTAAAAAATTTTTTTTTACAATTACCCATACATATGAGGATAAGAGAAACAACCCCATGTGAAGAAAACATTCTCTTTTTTATTAAAATTGCTTCTTTTTTAAAGGATCCTGATTTTACTCTTTCTCATTTTCTAGGAAACAAGGAGCAAGTGTAAAATAGTAAACACGCATAATGAAGGAGAAACTAACTTAGTAGTACAAGACCTCCTTTGTTCCAGGTTCAGCCTATGGCATCTTCATTTTAAAAAGGAATAAAGTAGCCTACGATCCTGCACAAGATGCTAGGACTGGAGTGAACAGGACTAGGTTTCATGTAATTTGGTACAAGGCAAAATCCTATGCCCCATTCAAACTCAACTGGTATTTATAAATGTGAATTATGGCCTGTTGGTTATCTCAAGAACACTGTTCCATGTCCTGTCAACAGATGATAAGATGTAACTGAATGTACAAAAATGCTATTGTCTCCTAATCAAGTCCTCCTGACCATGGTTCTGCCAGATATCAATTAGAGCTTATCAGCTGAGGACTAATGAGGTTTATTTCCATGCTACCCATGCAGCTTAGTGGCAGGGCACACTACATTAGACTTGTCTAGGCCTCAGATGGACACAGAGTTAGCCTCACTGAAGACATACAGTCAATAGTGGGGTTTTTTTTCAGTTTATGTCCTATAATTTTCTGTCCTGTTTTCTCCCCAAACCAGAGCTGATGCGGCAAGTGACTATAACATGTTCACTCAATAATACATATAACCTCTATAGCATCACCAGAGCAGCAATCACATCCCTTTCATCTCAAACACAGTTGTTTTAGTTATAGTTGCATGGCAGACACAAACAGATTCTTCTTCAAAGTCCTGAGATTTTTACCTACTATATCATTTCTTGCCACATAACTGTTAAACATAACAGAAACTCTGAAGTAAAAAAAAAAATGATAACACTAGTCCACTTTGGTCACTTTTAAATACCCTCCATAACCCATTCCTCAGGAATTTCATTAAAAACTCTCAAGAAATAGATCAACTTGCTGAATCACCATATCTTACTTCCCCTAAGACATTAGGCTGAAAAAAGGCAATTACAGTCTAGACCAGAGAATTCCAAGAAATATTTTGCCCAGGAAAATTTCTTGAAAATTGATATATATTTAGGTGCTTACAAAGGCACAGTGTACTTTCAGTTTGCTACTCCTGTATAAAACTATGTTCAACCCCTACTAAAGTTACTGGAAGCTGCTTCTAGAAGTCCATTTTCTCAGTCTTTTAAGACAACATCACCATATTATGGCAACATTGGTATTAATGAATTAATGTAATTACAGCTCTTTCTGGAAAGGTCTTCTGTAATGTACAAGTTCTCTATTTTGCTGAAAACTCAATAAAACAGTTTTGAGGAATCTTATTTTCTTCTCCAAAAAATCACCCTACTGTATTCTGATAGAACTCTAACTTGTCTGTGCTTTATGTAACTTTACATACATATATTTTGTCGTGCTCCTGATCTAATACTCTAAAACCTTAAACAATGCTTGTATCTGTCTACTTGTAAGTCAGCTCTGCTATTCTCAATGGGACTTACTCCTAGATAAATTATATAGGAGCCCTCCATGTGTATTGGATGACAACTCCTATCATTGCAAAAACATCCTGCTTTGGACTGATATGCTCAACACATCTAGAGGGCACCAGATGGGAGAGAGCAATCATACCCAACAGCCAAAACTGGGCTCTTTTCAGCACAGAAGAAAGCAACCCTTGTTTCTGGAATAAAAGGGAGATTAATTTCAAGCTATGTCAAGGCACTGGTGCCAAGCAGACCAATAATAGGTCTAGACATCCAGCATTTCAGTGACATTAAACCAAGTGGCTTTTTGGCAAATTGCTAAAAGAGCGTAAGTTGAAGTGAATCTCCACCCACCCCTCACCTACACATTACCTAAATAACAAGTGATGTATTTGTCAGAAAGGATGCAATTTCTTCTGATAAGATTGCTTGCTTCTGCACACCACCCCCACTTTGAACCACTTGGCTTTCGTGAAAGGCATTAGCTGAAACTGAGAGGAAGGGAAGGGAACAAATCATCTGGGAATTTAATCTCTCGCATAGAAGAGAGACTCCCTCTCCCTCTCCTTTGCAACTACTCCCTTTCGAAAGCTGTAGCAGGGGGAAGTGCAGGTAGATGACCGTGAAATGCCTTTGTGACATCACAATTATTGGGCCAATCCCCTCCCTTAGTCAGAAGTAATTCCAAATAATCAACAAAGGAAAGGGACAAACAGGCATAAGAGCAAGAGGCCTTTTGATGCCACAAAAACACCACTTGGGCCTGGTGCAAGGACGCAGCTGTGAAAGCAGGGGCAAGCTCCCAAGACACTCAGTGGGGCAGAGCCAGCTGGACAATGGACAGTTCCATGTCCATTCACATTCCCATAATTCCCAATGCTAGCCAGTCAACGGAAAAACATTTGTTCAATTTTGCAGTGAACGTAATCAGAAAAATGGAGAAAAATGTGCAAACCATCACAGAATAGTGCAAAAGATACTACCATTGTTATGACAACCCCCCTCCACTCTAGCAGCTATCCTGGCTGTCACATTTGATCCTTTCTGGCTGCTTCCAGCTGTTGACACCCCTCGAGAAGAGCCTTCTATGTGAGGCCTGGCTGGAGGGTTCTCTAAGGTCCAGGCAACATCAGACCTGTAAGAATGAATAGAAATACCACAGTCATTGGTGCTTCTTAATATGGTACAGGAATATAGTTGGACTGTATTCAAGGAAACCTATGTCAGGAGACAACTGTCATTTCATAGCTCAAACTTTCTCAGCTCAGTGAGTTGAGACGCGTTGGATTACAATTCTCATCTCCAGCTAATGTCAGTTGAAGTCATCAGGCGAAGTAATAATGCACATCCAACTAAACAAATATTGCTTTGGCAAGAATGATACTTTGCAAAGTCTGAACTTGCCTTTCTAAAGGAGGCAAGAGCTGCTCTCATTTGGTGTTTAGCTCCAACGATGGAATTATAATCTTTTTGACACTTGCCACGCAACAAGCTGTTGAATCCTGTTATGTCTGCCAACGAACTTAAGACACAGTGCTTATAGTTCTAACTGATTTCTTAGAATCTCTAGTTTGAAAAGCAAAAAAAGAGCTGAAAATTCCTAAGTTTTTTTCTTTATCTTTCAACTAGCTGTACACAGAGGGATAACAAAATACTGACCACCGTCCTAGTGTAGGAAGGGAAGGGGAAGGAACTCTACCCATTAAAATAATAACAACAACAACATGTCAAAGAGAAGCATTCAGCTTCTCCTCCTCCTCACGATATATCATTTGTCTTCTGTGCAGAGAGATTCCCACTATCACCTCAGCAGAACTCTCAAGAACATCACCACCTATCTGCAAACTGAACTGTCAGAATCCATGAAAAGCTTCTTGACTTGACCCTGCTTCATTGACCCTGGATCTGGGAGGCTTAAAAAGATCATCCTTCTGCACATCTGATGGGATCTTACTGGGGAGTACTGTCTTAGAGAAGACAGAGGTTAGTTAGAAGTAGTTAGTTTTATTTCACTTTTTCACTTGGAGTTTTTAAACTTGTTTTTGGTTTTGATATTACAGATGTATAGGTAGTCCTTGAGTTACAACAGCAATTGGCTGGGATTGCCTTAGCTAAGCAATGGGTCGTAAAGCACAATGTCACGTGACCGCATTGCTTAGCGACAATCCCAGCAGTCCCATTGTTATGCCAAGATGTGCAGGTCGTTAAGCAGGGAGGCGGGAGTCCCAGGTAAGGATGCCATGGGGGGGGTCGCAGGGGGATGGGGGAGGCCCTGGGGGGCCTGGCACAGGCCACGCACGCGTTGGGGGAGGCCAGGGGAGGGGAGTGCTGCACTGCCATGCAAGGAGGCTGGGGAATGAATGGTGCAGCGCCGCGTGACAGCAGGGAGGCTGGGAGGACTTACCAGAGCAACTTGCAAACTTCCTTGCTGGTTCCCGATTGACTTTGCTTGTGGGAAGCCGGAAGAGAAGGGCACAAATGGTGATCACGTGACTGCGGGGCATTGCAGCTGCTGTAAATGCAAGCCAGTTGCCAAGTGCCCAAATCGCAATCATGTGACCGCAGGGGTGGTGCAACGGCTGGAACTTCGAGGACCAGTTGTAAGCACCACTCATTCAGCCCCACTGTGGCTTTGAACAATTGCTGAACAAGTGGTTGGTAAGCCAGGACTACCTGTATTCCATATGTCCCAGTGTGCTCCCTAGAGTCCTTTGGGACTGGGGTTGGTTGCAAATCCTATTCAATGAAGAAACAAACCACAACTCTCAGAGTTCCTGGATATTGTCATGACAATTAAATCCATTAATTCCCAATCTAGAACTACCATTGACAGAGCTTTTCATTTACTGAAGTTGCTGAAGAACCACTTACTTTTTTCTGAAAGCAAGAAGCTTATTATTCTGAATAACACAACCTTCTGTGCTGGACACTTGCTGTAAAATAGCCTTTTTGCTCTTGCCTTGAAAAATCAAGTTATCTTGTACTAAAGCCTTGGTTTGATCAAGCATCTCAATCCCGTAACCTCGAAAGGAGTGGATTCTGTTCTTGGTTACCTGGAGTGCAGACAGGACAATAAAATGTCATTCCATTGGACAGGGAATATGCGGGATCAACTGGCTATCAAATTTGGAAGAGCATTTAAAGAATGGGTGGTTTTCTGTATTCTTAAGGGACTTCAAGCCATAGAAGCATGTAAGGCATATTGAAAAAGCTTGAGCATCACCAGCAAACTTTTTACTGAGTGCTTTCCATCTTCATGCCCTAAAGACTGGGGCCTTTGTCTACTGTTCAAGGGGGCCAATGTACACAGGGACATATCCCATAGCCTCTACCATTGCCTGTTTGACTTTAAATGTTACCAGCTGGCATGCTGAGAAGCCAAACATCAGCCTCCAGCATCATCTTTATTTCCCATGCTGCTTCCGTCCCCACAATAATGCTTTGGTCTCACAACACATTCTTAGAAAATAAAAGGGTTGGTGGCTGCAGCTCAGTCTACCGGAAGTCCCTCCCAGAAAGGCAGAGATTAGGTGGCATGGAATTAGATGTGATAGGGAGTTATTGGGAGGTGGGTAAAGGTGGTGACAAGGAATATCCTTACCAGTTTGCCTTCTGGAAAACACATATATGGTGACTGGCCAGGCCTGCACTAGCAACTATTTTGCCAGTCAGCAAATTCTCCCGTGACAACTGCTCCTCCCAGTTGTGGTCTTCTGTTTAGATGGTATACTTGAATAAGCTCATGTCAGTCAATTAGGACCCAAAATATCCAGATGCCAGTTGGATGGGTGGGGAATGGAGAGTAGAAAGAAACAGAGAATTGCTTTCTGATCCACTGGGAGTCTTGGGGATGGAGGGAGAAAAAGGCACCTTTTCCTTCTGCATATATATGTGACTGCCTCCCTCCCTTCATATTACTGTATAAATTTATATGTTCAGGTTTGAGGCCCAGTACTCTCTAGTAGCCAATAGCTCAGAATTCCTGAAACTTAATATATCCTACTGGAGAGGGCATGTATGCCAACAGCCCCCAGCTGTTTGAATCCCTGACCAAGTATGCCTTCTGGAGAGCAAGGTTTGATGGCTCCACTTAATTTGGGAGGGGAGATAGAGAGGGAGAGTATGATGCCAAGCAAGTCATGTAGATAGATATGACCAAGCCTTTCCATTTTTTTTTCCTGGAGAGGGGGCATTCTTTGATTTTTAATGGCAGGGAGGGGAAATCTTTCTGTAACTATTTTAGGGTTTATACTAGTTTTTGCATTTCCTGCCTCTAAATGAGGGGAAACTATACCAGCCAGATTGCGTTGATGCAGTGGGAGGGGGCTCTGGAAGCTAGAAAAAAAGGCTACGGAAGCTACATTGCAGCCCTGGGAATTGGAGGGCTGAAACATCGGATTGCCAGTGTATTTGGTGGAAGGATTCACCCGGAAGAACATATACACTTTGCCTTCCAGTGAACACTGAATCCAACACTGGTTTTGTCTCCTCTGTGCCTGTAATTTCTTGGTGCCAGCACAGCACCAATGTTCTATATGAAATTTCTCCCTAAAGCAGCAGAATCCTCTAAGGGAATGATCCAAAGTGTTTACTTGCTGGCAACTTCTCTTGGGGAAGCAATGGATCCTTGCCAAAATGCAAGCAAGTAATCCTCAGGTTTCTCACTGATGTTATTCATGAAAGTGGAGAATAAGCATTGCAATATCCAGAGACCTGAACTCAACTCCTGATTTAGCTGGGAAATCTCACAAAGGGACTTTGAGTTAGCCACCCACCTTAGTCCTGCCAACTTTACAATGAGAGCATCCCTTTTTGGAGAAAGGAGGTGATACTAGCGATTATAATAATGTTCTTTTTTAAAACATTCACCTTCATGTCAGCTGCCTGCAACAGTCTGAGGCCACATCCCTGATTTCCTAGAATGTCATTCTCAGTGATGACCCCATCGCCCTTGGAGGTAACGCCATGGCTGCTGTTGTCATAGATCCCATTGCCACGGAGTTCAACCCGGCACTCGGCTTCCACCAGGACTCCCCCAAGGCTATTGCAAGAAATGCTGTTGCTTGCTATTCGGGTGAGTTGCGAGCTTTGAAACACAGCAACCCCACAGTCCCTGTTGGCATGGATGGCATTTCCAATGATATTCAGAGCTTCGCTGCTTTTGACATACAAGCCAGCAGCTATGGAAAAAGGAGGGGAAGACAGAAGAGAATCAACTCTCTTAACAAAGACAGGATGAGAAGAGAAAAAGCCAAAGTAGGCACTGGTATGCAGTCTAAATAAGTTTCCTAGTTGATTCCTACATTTAAAATAGACGGCTGACCTTTGTTAAACAGGGTAAATTCAAAAATACCAAATGGCAAAAGATAATCATAGCTATGCATTGCAGGGAGTGAGATCACTGGGGGACAAGGAACTTCAGGCAGCTATTAAGGGCAATTTGGGGGCAATAACACGGCAGCATGGATCAGGCATAACAGGGAACCAAAAACGTAGCAAGACTAGAGTATGTCATCATCATCATCATCAACATCATCCTCATACCTACTGTCTGCTGTAGAATCAGCATCACAGTCTACAGCTTAGCTCTCTGCCTCTACTACAATTCACACCTTTCAGCAATCAAAATGGCACATCCCCAGTTGAGGCTCACTGAAGACGTCAAGCAGCACAATCTTCCCTTTGGCATCCCTTATCAATTCTTGGCATATACACACACATACACCCAATTTCAGACTGCAACCCAAATGTCTACATAAGTCAATCAATGAAACTTAAAATGGGATCTTCCCCAACTTCATCTAGTATTGAAAGTAAAATGATAATCGCAAATTATTTAATATCCAGCTTAGACTAAGACTGGATTAAAAGGAGTAAACAAAATCCCTAATGTGTACTAGAAATTAGCATGTGTCTATCCATACAGGTGTCATATAGCAGGATGGCTAACAAAGTTCTGGAAAGGATTAAGGCATCTATCTCTCTATATTATTGTGTATCTGTGGGGACTTTGCAGAAATTATTACGTGGTGGCCCCTTTAAGCTTTCCTTCATACAGTACAAAGCTGGTTATCCAGTTTTGCTAGTGCTCACCTCCATTATGGTTGATGTTGTTTGACTCCACAAGGGCCACACTGATGGGCCGCCGGGAAGTCAAGCGTTCATCCTCACTCTCCAGGTCATTCTCCCAGTTGGCTGCTTCTCCCTCTTCATTGAAGTTCTCATTGCCTCCTTGGTTGACAAGATAATCATTAGCATCATCCTTGCGGCAAAATACCGCAATTCCGTAGATGCTGTTGTGCCCAATTTGGTTATTGGTAACATGGGGAAGGCTGGATGACATTATCCAGACACCACAGCCTTTATTACCTACAAGAAAAGCATGTAAATTTGTCAGGTTTCCTATCATATTATGTAAGAGATTTGGCACTGGGACAGAGAAGCACTTTGGTCCAAGGCTATATACTGGAGCAAACTTCAGGTAGACTGGAACATCTATGCCATCAGCTTTGATCATTGGCAGGCTGGTTTGGAGACCCTTGATTTAGCTGTGCCTGGTATAGATACAAGGAATTTGGCCTTTTGCCCTTGCTTGGTCAACAGCATAGGATTTCTGAAGCCTCTCAGGCACAGCTCAAGTCTCTTGTACCTCCTCAGTGATGGAAATCTGAGGCCCAAGAATGGAAGACACCCATTTCTAAATCTGGATTCAGGTATCAAAAACCAGAGGTCTTCCTATTTTGACCTAACAGTAGGCTTGAGCACCATACAGATGTAATAATTTAACAAGTTCAATTTTCAGTGAATGAATTCTAGTATCACTGATGCCATAAACATCTTGTCCCATTGCCACCCTAATCTGATTCACTTACATGTCAATTCTACTGGAGGAAAATGATTAGACATTAGATTGAATAGACATTACACACATGCAGCTCAGAGGGAAAAATATAAATGAAGCTGGATATGCAACATTGAGTTCTGAGATCTAGGAGCACTGCACAGTGATGATGACACAAGCTTTGCCCATCTCTACAGGAAGTCCTGAGCCATAATGGCAGAAGTGAAAATGACAAGAAAGTTGAACTCTTTATTTTCATTCCAGCCTCAACACACTTCTGTGGGATTTACTGAGCAAAGAATGGGATGAAGATAGTTCCATCAAGGGTTCTACTGAGCTTTGAGCTTAAGCAAAAGTTACATTATCCAGTTTCCCCTTGCAAGGGCTACAGTGAACAGTATCAAAAAGCTTTTTTCACTTCAGCTCTACAGTGAAAAGACTATCCCAGACTTTGTGCAGAAATGGAAAGAAAACCTATCAGCTTCATGGTGGGCTCTTTAAAACATATGCATAGGGGCTAAATGATGCAGGGAAACTGGCTCATAAATCATTGCATAGGTAAACTGGGAGAGGAGGAAGGGGCGCAGATGTGAGCATGGGGAGAAATGTACCATGCACTGAATTTGTTCAGAAACCCTGCAGAAATGGAAGAGAAATCTCCAAAGGAAAAAGGCAGGAGTTCTGCCCATCCTTATGCCAAACACTAAACAATGATCTCCACCACGAGCAACAGAATAATGAGATAACCCAAGTGACAAATGCACCAAATCCACAAGTTTTCACACAATGTAGATACTCTAAAAATGCCTTTCTTTTGGATCTTAATGTTCTGCAAGAACAGCTTTTCAGGCCAGATTCTAATTACATTGACAGTCTTCAAACTGTTCCAGATAGCACTTATTTATTTTTTAAAAACTGTATTTTCCAAATACACCCCACGTTTCATTTTAAAAGGAGATTTAAAACAGTACAGGCTTACCATAAATGGTGTTTCCTTCTACAAGTCCTTTCCCCCGTTCTCCGACAACCACTCCATCTGAATATCCACAGCAGATCAGGTTACTCCTGAGGACAGGATCACCCCCACGCCGGATGTCAGCACCTCCCCATTGGTTTTCTCGGATGACATTTTCTAAAGTACAATAAGAAAAGGAGTCAATGAAGGTTTGTGGAATGGCCATTTTCAAGAAGAATCCAGCATTTCATTTCTAAAGATGCCCTAAATGGAAATTCAACTCAATACCATTCTCCTTTGTGCCAAATCTGCACTATTATTATTAAAGAGTGCTAGAGATAGGATAGCCTATGCATTTCAAAGATCCCTCTGTGGCAGCCACAGTCCAGAGAAGACCACCAGGGAAATACCCTAAAACAGGATTGCAGAAAGTATAACCTGCCAACGCTCATGGGCTCTCCTAGCGGGGGAAATTTAAACGTTGGGATTTGGGAGGGAGGCATTTTGGGAGGGTTGGGGTTCTTTAAATCTTGCAAAGGCTTAATATACCACTGCATTCTTTAAAAATCTCTGACCTCTCAAAATATTGGACAAATCTTTTTTTCCTCCTTTTGCATTTTCAGGAGCAAAATAAGTATCTTAAGCTGTTCATCCCCCCTCCCCCCCAGCAAAAAAGGCCTTTTGGCCCTGCCTACTTTGGCATCTTTGCTTTTCCATCTGTTCTTCCCTCGGAAGGGAAGGGAAGGGAAGGGAAGGGAAGGGAAGGGAAGGGAAGGGAAGGGAAGGGAAGGGAAGGGAAGGGAAGGGAAGGGAAGGGAAGGGAAGGGAAGGGAAGGGAAGGGAAGGGAAGGGAAGGGAAGGGAAGGGAAGGGAAGGGAAGGGAAGGGAAGGGAAGGGAAGGGAAGGGAAGGGAAGGGAAGGGAAGGGAAGGGAAGGGAAGGGAAGGGAAGGGAAGGGAAGGGAAGGGAAGGGAAGGGAAGGGAAGGGAAGGGAAGGGAAGGGAAGGGAAGGGAAGGGAAGGGAAGGGAAGGGAAGGGAAGGGAAGGGAAGGGAATTTTCTCTTGATCTTTTTGCTATTCCCCCCATAAAATTAAAATAAATATTTTAAAAAATGAAATAAATGTAAACAAAATAAAGCAAGCAAGAAATAAAAGTAGTCCTGGCCACTTTTGGAACTTGTCCCTCAGCATCCCTACAAAGCACAGTGTGCTCCTCAACCACAGAAATGGTAAACTCTGCCCTAGAAAAATGTGGTGGCTAAGTTGCTGCCAAATGCATTTTCTTATGTGAACGAAGATGAAATTGTTGAATATGTGGAGAGCAAGGAATTTAGTCTTCATTTTCTGAGCTAGTTCTGCAAACATATTTGTCATGGTACCACTGGCTTTAAAGAGTGGCCCTGGTACGCCACTTAAGAACTTGGCGGGGTGGGAACGCGGCTTGCAGCCTTTTCAAAATGGTAAAGGTAGTCAATGCACCATTCACAGGCTGCACACAGCACTCATTTTTAGCACTGTACTCCCAGGAATAGGTAGAGTTAAACTGTTCAGACCTGTCATGATATCTTCAATCATATCTATGGTGGCTCTCTAGGTAGGATACAAAGATGTCTGGAAATGTTGCCCTATCCTGCCTTGAATGTTCACAAAAGAAGCAACAGGTAGAGGCTGGCAACTAGACAAGAGGAAGGACCACAACGTGTCTTTGTTCAAAATAAAGGCAGTGAAATGAAGCGCCTGTGAGTGAGGAAATACAGTAGGTGGATCAAGCAGCCTTTCAACCAGGAACTTAGAGGAGGGTTTTAAAAAGGCTACTATCTCCCAACTTCAGTTTTCCATAGGGAAAAACAACCCTTACTTATGTGGCAGGGTTGATGTAAGGTTTAGAGAGAGATCTTTTGTGAAATATTTTGAACACTTTGCAACAAGCACTTATTTTAGAAGATGTGGGTTCAAAAAGCATGAAGCAATGCAGCAATTCAAATTAGAACGCAGTGCTTTGAAGGTGACAACTCAACATCCATCAAATATCAAATGTTGTCTTTTCCTACCTGTGATTTGGCCTCTTCCATTTTCATTCACAGCTATGCCAGCAGCAAGACCCTGGAATATATGGTTTCCACTGGAGCAAAAAGAAAGGAGGAACGGCCAATTTTTACAGCTCATTCATGTATTTGCTCACACGTTTTCCCAGTAGTTCATTCCCATCAAGAGATTCAACCGCTGCAGTAGCAAAAGCACAGACTTTTGCTCCAACATGTACAGTAAAAGCAGCTTGTTTGCTTGCTTGCTTACATTTTTCACAGTCTTCGCCTACATTTACATGTTGCACTATTTCTTGACCTATGTTGTTACATAGGCCAAGATTTATAGTTAGTGTTTTGTCTGAATGAGGCCCCTCTGGCTTGTTCAATAAACTATGATTAAAGCAAACCTGCCATTAATACAATTTGATCCTGCTTCCTTCCTACACCTATCCCTTTCTTTTCTTTTCCTTTTCTCAGGGCAGGCCTTTTTATAGGGCCAGATTTTTAGGCAGGCCAAGTTGAGATAGTTTTCTCACAGAGTGGTTGCAATTAATAGGTGGGACAATCATATAGGATTTCAAGCATGGAGGGAGAAGCCAAGATGTCCAAGTTTTCTTCTTGGCTTTCCAAAGGGATGCTGGTTTTTTTCCCTTATTTTATTTTCACAATAATGGTAACTTTAAAAACAGTTAAACTGAATGCTTATTCCAAACTTTGGGGAATTTGCTTCATAACTGCAAAACTGCATGGTTTATTTACTTCAATTTCTTGAAAGGGTCTCTAGGGGCTGCAAAAATTTTTAAAAGGGGGGGGGATTTGGGGGAACTATGTGGCTTTAGGACCTGCTGGCCTCTGCCATAAATCAATATTTGTTTTATTCCAGGGTGCCATTTGGTGTCACCTCTGGGGTCAGAAAGTATTGAACTATACCTGCAGCCCCAGAGATGTGACTCTGGATAATGCGGGATGCCCTTTTTCAATCCTTTCCATTCATACTTAACCACATGCAACAAGACGAGGACACCTTCAAGCTGATAGCCACAGTTGCCTCAAGGTAAGAGGCCAGACTGATTCCCAACTCCAAAACAAAGAAGCAGGAGCCCACCCCATTGTGGAAACCATGGTCAACTACACTATCCTTTCCCATTCGCCTTATAGAGTGGTCTTCCGTACGACAGGAATCACCAGATTTTAGGCTTGTGAGATCTCTTTTTCTGTGTGTGGACGGTAACCCATGTTGACTGATTCAAGCCTGATGCTGATCAGTCAGTGGATTAAAAAATACGGTACCCCATGAACTATGACAGGGAAGGCAACATGCTATCCAAGGACAGCACTATGCTCTGACGTAGTGCTTCATGCTTGCCAAGCTCCTTGATCTGCTTGACTTTAAAAAAAGGTTTAATTAAAAAAAACGAAATAGGAAGAAATCCAGCATTAGTTTTTCACATTATCTTTATTTGCAGCAATGCCTTTGAACCCTAGAATGTCACTGGATGTTAAGGTGAACATTTGGAGAGTTAATAGCCACCTCCTCATGTTTTAGTCCTTTTTCCCCTTCTAGTCCTACTCTTTATAACTGATTGCCCCTTGAATTACATTTGGGGTCCAATCTCCTGAGATATAATAAAAAGGTCTGTAAAACATTTTTTATTAAGCTAGAATTTTTCAGCAGCAGTACTGGATATCAGTTTAAATTAGGGTTGCATTGGGATTAGACAGTGTTTTTAAACTGATTATTATACCGTTATTTTGTAGATACTGATTAATACTTTATTATTTTGCTTGTATTCTTTATTCACTTATTTTCAGGGCGATAGGGACTCGGGACCTCCAAGATAAACAAGTCAATGCAGAAGGAGTTCTTGGAGTTCTCTGGAAAGTTTAACAGCCACAGGAAAGCTATGTGCTTTCCTGACAAATTATAGTGTTTAAAAGAAAAATGGTTGTACTGTTTGGTGAGAACAATTTGCTCTGGGTAGAAAGGACAAAATAACACAACACAATGGGAACAGGTACAAGACATAAGGCACTCCAGAAGTGAAAAAGCCACCTGGAAAAGCATGAATTGTTCATTTCAAGTGGAGTGAAAACTGCTGGAGTCCAAATTAAGTGGAATATGCCATCCCAGAAGGACTGGAATAAATATATTCACAGCAAAAATTAACCTGGAGTGGAATATTTCATCTAAAGGTCAAAGGAGAACTGATGATTCACTGTCCTTCAGCTCACAAACTCCAGCTGAGTCAAGTCTTGCATAAAGGGGCCGATATTGCAAATTCAAAGAAGCTATCATTGACACAGTCAGTAGTTAAAATCCAGGAAGAACCATTGTTTCATTTTTGTTATATCCTAATGTGAAAATTTATTTATACAATTCATTATCCAAGGAACTTAGACTAGCAAATGTGGTTCCTCACAATCACAACTCCGTGAGGTAGGTTAGGCTGAGGGAAACAGTGACTAACCATCATTTATTGAACCAATTACAACTAGCTGGGTTCCCACAACAATGGATGTGCAAACCACAACCAATTCAGCAACAGAATATTGCCAAGAAGTTGGGTTTGGAGGATTTATTTCCAGAAATTGGCAAATGTCCCCCCCCCGCTCCCCCTCGCTAGCATGGCATAGTCTGGCAGAAGTTCAACAGAAGGGGAATAGAATGTTTCAAAGAATTCTAGATTCCAAGTCTAAATCATAGAATTTTCCACATCTCTAAGCTAAGATATAAACCAAGCAAATAATATGATAACTTAGCATGCAGTGCAAATGCAGCTATTGACTGGTCTGCAAAATGTTTTGAATTTGAACTGTCTCCAATTTGAAATGCCCTAAATCAAGATTGAGTTAGTGGCTTTGAGAGTAAAATTAATTCCATATTTGGGACAGGCCATTCTGATCGTTTGAGAATGTTCTGAGTTCAGAACACTTCTCATGGGATTAAAATGGTCGGTTTTGAACTCAAAATGGGTACATAGAAATATGAGATGTAGGCAGAACCTGGTTCCTAGTTTCACATTCTTAATCCCAGTACTATATTGACTCCCTGCTTGCTATCAGAAAGGGGACAAAGCTTTCTATATTGTCCCCCCACTTTGCCATAACAGGATCAAAGCACAATTTCTGAGCAATACAGGGGAAGTGGGGGACAGAATATAATTTACATACTGTAGGTTGAGGAACCAAAAGATACTCTGGGATATTTCTCCCATGCTTTTAATTAAAAAAAATAGTTCAGACAGACAATCAGGCCAGTAAAGGCCAAATCAACGAAAGAAAAGAAAACTTCCCAATGCAATTTTCTTCTGTTTCTGAGAATGTCTCCCCAGCGTGCTTCTGAATATTGTTAGGAACATGGACCCAAGTGAGAATCTTTTTTAATACACACAAGTCACTGGGGAACAATTAGTGTAGCAATATCTTCTTAGGCACAACAACTCTTCTTCCTTGTGGAAACAGACTAAACAATTGATGAGGCTGCTTCTTGTTTTGTTTCGACAGCAAAAGACATCTGATTTCCACAGACTTTTGTGAATGCTTGGCTGCAGCTGCTGTTGACACAGCACCTAGGAAGGGAATTAAGTCTCCATTCTGAGCTGCTGATTCTTTTATGCATGTTTCTTCCAGGCTGATTACCAGCATCATTATCACTACTTAGGGCAGCTGCCTATTTAGAAACTTGATACTCATTTGACAGGTCTGCTTTGGAAAAGAGTTTGATCTCGACTCTTACGGTTTGTAGACTCTTACAGTTTGTAGGTTTTTAAAAACCCGTTTTCCAGTTGTCAATCAAGCTATGATGATGGAATAAGCTGTTCTCAAACAGGCACTTAAACGTAACTAGGTTGCAACTGTTGTTTTGCCAAACAGGTCTGTGATTATCTCCATCTGAATTGGAAGGTTAGCACTCATATCAAAAGGATACCACTCCTCATTCACACTGGGAGGAATCAAATCCACGGAGTCATCTCAGGGTTGAGAGGTGCTTCACCCAATGCTCCTGTGTGGATGGCCATGAAGTGAGGGTTTTGCCAGTTGAAAAAGGCTTCTTGGATGCTCTCCATACAGCTCGAAGGCAAAATGTGCAACCCACAGTGATAGGAGGGTGGAGAGGGGAGTGAATATTCTGTCTTCTGCTGCCATCTCCATAGCAGAAGACAGAATATTCACTCCTCTCTCTCCCCTCTCCGCCCCTCATCACTGTGGGTGGCACATTTTGTCTTTGAGCTGTATGGAGAGCATCCAGTAGCATTAGAAAAGCTACTGGGGCATATTGGAGAGGAAGGATGGGCAGAAGGTAGACTGGGACATGTCTACTACTGAAATTAATAAAACTTGGGTAGTTAGAAATTGATTTAGGGCTCAGTTTACACCCTGCAGTAAGCCACAATTTACTTTAAATAATTTGAGGAACAAGCCAGATTGTCCAGGCTCACAGTTAAGTTCTAAACTATACTTTATAAAATCAAACATCATGCTAAGCCAAAACTAAACACAGGTTAAAAGAATGTGCGAACTGCTGTGTTGAAGATGCGTAGGCTCAACTCACTTTCCAAACTTAAAATAAGAAAGTTCTTGTTTATTTAAAAAAAAAAAAAAGCACACCCATTTTTCACAAGGCTGTGATGTGATCACATCACTCTAGTAAGAAACAGTGTCGATCTTGCAAATCTGAATTCCCAGCTAGGTGCTTACAAAAAGGTTGGCTGGGGATAATGGGAGTTGTCATCCAAAAGATCAGGGGGCCACCAGACTGGAGAAGGCTGTTCTTCAGGACAAAGTTGGTTGAATTTTGAAGGGACACATTACCGTCAGGCATGAAGGAGCACACTCTCCTGGACTTTGCTTGGGAACAATAAGCCGCCTCTCTGGAAGCTTACTCACCATGTATGAACGTCTCACTGAGGACCTTTTGATATGCTTCTGTTGAATCTCTGAGGGCGTTCAATGAAAGCCACTCTCTCAAAGCATTATGCAAATGTAAATGCCCAAGTGCCTCCTTGGGGCTCTTAGAAAAAGCAACACCTTTAAAGTCTGCTCTTTAACAGGAGGAAGAACTGTTTCATCAATGAAATTACACCCAAAGATAGCAAGAAAAGGCCATAGCTCAGACACCTACCTTACCAGAGGATTGCCATTATACAGAATGTAAATGCCAGCCTCCTTATTTCCATAGATTTGATTGCTACGGATGATGCCTTTTCCGTTGCCAAGGGCAACGATGCCGGAGCGAAGGCCGCTGTGGATTCTATTACACTGCCATATTATTTTATGCATGGTGGGGAAAAAAAGAATAAAAGGAGAAGACAAGAGACAGAGTGAGGGAGGTCCATCACACTAAATCAAGGACTTGCACCGTCAGCAGGAAGGTCAACGTGCTTTCAGGCCAAGACACCCAGATCTTTAAAAGCTAGAAGCTATTCATTTCAGAAAATCTATGCCCACTTTTGGATCCTAGTGAAGCAAGCCTGACATTTCAGTTGTCACTACAGTACTTAGTAGCAACTGAATGGAAAAAAGTGAATGTCCTGATCAACAAGTCTCAGCTATTCTCAGCTATTCCTCAGTTAAATAGAACATGTGCCTTGCCCATCATTTCTCATTCTTTGCCTCCAATTCTCAGCTATTACGGATCATACGGTCCAGTAATTCCCAAATCAGTGACACTTACAGAGGAGAGAAGCTGTTACATCAACAAGCCCTTTGCTACTTCCCAGTTTCTCCACTGTGTCTTGCACTGCAGTTTCACAGTGGACATTAGCAAATAATCATATTTTATCTTGATTTGTGAAAAGTGTCACCTGCTGATTTTGGTAGGCACATGAGCAAGCGTTGGTTCCTGATAAGTTGGGAATCAAGCTCCCTGACAGAACCTACATTCACAAGGGAGAAGATCAGATGTCTATCTCAAATTTTAAGAATAAGTGGCAATGGAGGCTAAAATTGTGAATGTAGGTGGAGTTATTAAACAGTTTGGGGTCTGCTACATTAAGAAAGATCAGGAGGTTGATTAGTCAGGCATCAAACACCATTTCTTGCACATGTTCCATAAGTAAAAGCATATGTCCAATCAAGTCATTAACAGTGGTGTGCAAAATGTTTTGTTTCAAGTTTGGAAGGCTCTGTTCTGGGTTCAAAACAGTGATCCCACTATTCTGTTTCAAGCTTCAACTGGTCTGGGTTCAAGCTCTAAGAACCTGTTTCAACCTCAAAATACAATTGTGTCAATGCTGAAACAGAGTTATTCTGAGCACAAAATATTGTCAGGATGTTCAGAACAATGTTGGAGCATTTCAGTCAAAAAACTTGATTTGTTGGAGTTTGGAACGTTTTACACACCTCTAGTCCTTAAATATCAGATGCATCCTATCTGATCCCATGATTGCATGCCACTTTTATGCTGGGTAGATCCTGAACTGATGATTTAGGGCAGTGTTTCTCAACCTCTGTTCATCTGTGGCCCCCTTCCAACCTTGTTTTTCTCCTGTGGTCCCCCTGTTCAGGTTCCATTACTGGATACGGACATGGGACAGTAACTGGTATGTTTTCTAGCATTATACTGCAGTATAATAAATTTTGCTTTTCTGTGGCTCCCTCAGCATCTGCTGTGGCCCCCCGTTACATGTTTTTCACCTGTGGCTTCCTTGAAATATCCTAGGGCTCCAGGGGACCATATGGCCCCTGGTTGAGAACCGCTGATCTAGGGGACAGTTCAGCTTGCGAGCATCACCATGAGATGCATCAAACTCCAACCAGGATTCACAACACTCTTATAAATGGTTGTCTCCTCCTTAAAATGAGGCTGCCTTCCAGCAGTAAAACAAGATCCATCTGCTTTCCTTGAGTCACAATCCATGATTCAGCCATGCATAGTACAACAGAGAGCAACTCACTGTTGAACACATGGATTAGATTAGATTAGATTAGATTAGATTAGATTAGATTAGATTAGATTAGATTAACTGTCTACTCAATATATATTCATCATAATACCCACTTATAGTCAGCTCAGTACTGTATTTTACATTAGGAATGTTTTAATACCCTGGACTATCTATAAGCTCAGTATTTTAGCACCACATGGCCCAAATGCAATGCTGAATGAATGGTTTTCGGATAAGGCAAATTCCTTCAACCAAAAACCATCTTCTATGCTGCAGTCAAAGAATGCATGGAAGAAGTGAACGTTAACCCCTGTCTGTCAATTTCCTTTCCCAATGCCCTTTGCCCACCCCCCTCCCCACTCTTCATTCCTGCTCACATAGGCTTTTTTTCCTAACAGGGATCCCAGGCAGAGAAAGACCGGAGGTCAGGGATCTGTAGCAGGAGATTTACCTGCTTCTTCTTCTCTATAAATATCCAATGGCCATTCAAATAAAACAAAAATCAATACCAGGATTAAAGGATTGGCTCCCTTCCGAATGTCCACCCCTGCTTCACAATTGGAATGGATGTTATTGTCGGCGATCAAGCCACTGGCACCGAGGCGCAGAAATATCCCTGAGGTCTTGCAGTGGTGAATGTCATTCTTGAGCATGATGATCTGAAAGGAGGAGGACAGAATGAGTCAGATTTATTCACCGAAAAGGCTGCAGGCAGGCCAAACAAGCGTAGTGCAGGAACAGACCTTGAGGGTTATATGGCCAGTCCCCTTTTCAGTATCAAAATATGGCCACCTCTGCAGTAACTCTGACAGGGTCTGATATTTTCCACTAAGTTTTCTCAATATTACTTCCATCTCTGCAACAACTTACTTCACAGTATTGTATAATGTTTAGAAGGTACTGTACTATGAACACTCAGATTAGGCAGGTCTCTGCTACTGTTTTCAATTTATTGTTAGAATTAGGAACAAAATAAAGGCTTCCCCAATCTGGTTCTCTGCAGAAGTAGTGAAATTCATATTTTAAAATTTTCAGCTAAGCTTTGGCCTAGAATTATGGAAATCAATACAGGTAGTCCCCAGTTTAAGAACGAGTTCTGTTCCCAAGGTCTATCCTTAAGTTGAATTTGTATGTAAGCCAAAACAGTATTATTGTATAATACTGTATAAATAGTATTGTGTAATGAACTCGAACCATTGTGTGTAACTAGAATCACTGTGTATTTAACTCAAATTTTGCTACAATAGGCTCCGTTCTTAACTATGGGTTGTCCTTAAACAGGGCGTTCTTAAGCCAGGGACTACCTGTAGTCAATTCATCCTGACAATTCAGAATATGAGAATGGCAAAGGCAATAGTAAAATCTTAGAAAATGGAACAATCACACAGCCAAATTGCTGTTTTCTCAGTCACTGATCAAGTTAGTCAAAACACAAGTTAAGGTAGCAAGAATCCCACAACTGGCCTACAAAATATTTAATTCAGATTTGTTAACATTTTCCAGTGGTGGCCACTGTTACAGCAGAGGTGAGAAATGTATGTCACTGAATTGCCACTCAGGGAGCTGAACTTCATCTCTGAGCAGCTCGAGCCAGCATGGTCAATGGTAAGGAATGCTGGGAATTATAATTCAACAACTGTCTGGAGCTCCACAAGATCAAAACCCACAAACACTACTTATCTAATCTTCTTCTACATGGATGACCTAGGAGAAACTGGAAAACAGGAGAAATTTTAGAACAAGCGAGATTGAAAAATGTAAGAGAATTCTTAAAAACACGGCATTCCAACCAAGCTGTGATCAACAGACTTATAGACTCTATCTATGAAAATATATAACCAGACTTCATTCACATGGAAACTGTGAGCTCTCCAACTTAAGCATCAGCATAACTGACATAACAGAAAGATACATATAACCCTTGCCAAGCAAGGAACCTCACTTCTCCATAATATCCTGCACTGATCATATTACCTAGCATAGTAATGAAACATTTACAACCCAAAATCTAACTTGAGGAACTCTAACAATACAGTTCACCAACAATGAGCAACTTGTACAGTATTCTCTACTATCAATCTACACTTATCTACTCTAGGATTACAGGAAGCGTAAGTTCCCATGTGTCTGCCACGGATCTTCATGACAAGCTGGCAAAATCACAAGTGTCATCTAAACCATGCAGTGAACTTATGATCAACAGCCATGATTGGCTAAGTTTCTCTTGGCCCTATTAATATTTCCAGACATGAACTCTTCTTCAAGCAAGATGCAACGGATGGAATTCTAACTGAGTCATCTGGATGGCAGAAATGGAAAAAAAATCTGAGTTAAGGAGTCTTTGGGTTCAATAGCAATGCAAATCTTGTATTTATCTATATTCATCAGACATTTTCTCCTGACTCACACAGGCAAGCCTTCCACAGGATGCACAATATAACATCACCTACAGACCAGCTTTCTGAAATTTAAGCTAGCAAGAGGTAGGTGATGGTGCTGTAGGACTTAAAGGATAATCCTTTCATTTTTTCCCCTTTCTACCTCCATAGGCAGCTATATTTCAAACACTGTAAATCTGTGAGGCTTTGCCTCCCTTTTGAGGAAGTAAGGGTCAGAAAGCAGGAGGAACAAGAATGGGATGAAGCAGCTGAACATCTGAATGGGCCTACTCCTTTTGCAGCACCATTTTGCTGCAGGATTCCCTTATTTTGCCAATTTCCAGACCTGAGAAGAGAGATCACCAGTGGAGTCGTTGTGTTTTTTAAGCCCTAGGAAAGTTTGACTGAGAAGCTCACAAGACATCACTGGATCACGAGTGCAATTTAGTTCTCCAAACTACTGCAACATTTACTGTTATATTACTGCATATTTAGCAGCACTGTCCAGATTTCTCAGAGATGAGGTAGCCATAGTTTCTGTTCTGTACTAGAACAGAAATACACTAAATCTGTTTACTTTAAAACACACACACACACACTTCCATCAAATCAAGCTTGAATCTTGGTGACTCCACAGACACATCAATAACATTTTACTGAAAACAGTACAGTGGTATCTCAATTACTACTTCTGGGGTATTAATCTAATCCACAACTGCAATTTTCTGGTGGTCTCCCATGGAAGTGTAAACTACATCAGACTGACTGGTGTTCATATTTTTCACTGGTATGCGCTAATATATAAGCTCAGTACAAGAAAATATTTTTTCCCACAACAACTCTGTGAGGTATCTTGAGCTAAGAAAAAGTGATGGCCTATAGTCACCCAGTGAGCTTCTGTGGCTGAAGATAGGCTAGAACCTGGAGCTCCCCATTCCTAGTCTAACCTCTTAGCCACTATACCACACTGATTCTCTTATGCCCTTGTGCCTTTCTTAGCTTTTCAGTCAAGAAACAAATAATACTGCCTTCCTCTCCAAAGAGCCCATCCATTCCTTGGGTTTCCTTCTAGTATCTGATCCGAACATGTCCTCTGATTGGAAGAAAGCAATTCTAGAGCACTCACTTTTATAGAGAAATGGGGTGGATTCATCTAAGGGTGAATGATTGTTCATGCAATTGCAGTGGATTTCATGTATTGGCAGGAGATTGAAGAAAATCAAAGATCTGTCTGATCTTAGAAGAACCCATCTCATGTCTTCTGTGTTGACTTCCTTCCACTGAGGAAGCATACTCAGAAGAGTGAGCTAAACCCTAACCCTAATGTAAGGTTTACGTCATGATGGTTTGTTGAATAAACCATAATTTTATTGATTTAATAGCAAAATACAAAAAACCTATACCACCACCAACAAAAACGAGAGTGATTAAAGAATGAAGAAAGAAAACCTAAACGTAATATGGTGATTAAATTAAACATGGCAAAAAAGAGAAAAATAATTGACAAAAATCCATATATCTACAAATAACAATATAAAATTAATTCATCCTTAAGCTTATGATTACATCTAGAACACAGAGAAACATACTGTATTGTCTCATTTGTAGAACACAGAGACTTTTTTTTAAAAAAAGACAACTGATACATATCCTACATCCATTCCTTAAAATCAAGAGAACAAGCTTCTTTCTAAAAACAGCTGTGCCCCAGGCTTGAAAGAGCCAAAACTCTTCATGAAGTGATAAATTTCACATTTTAGGAATACAGTTCAACAGCACACTAAGATACTTGACTATAACATTTCTTTCCAAAATTGTACTGACATATGCAGTGATTTGAAACCAAAATGAGGCTGTGACTAGGCAGATCATATGAATGCTAACTTTCGTTTTGCTTTTTAATGCCTTCTAAACTTGAATTGTTGGTTTCCATTCAAGTGCTTAAGGACCCTAAAATTGCAGGTACCCTGGAGGCTGCTAGAGTATCTGGGCCATACTGTTTAATTAATATGTTTCAATTATATATATTGCCAAGTGAATATTATAGGCAAGTCATATTCGACATACCACCTCTCGAAGTCTTTCAAATATTAAATAAACCATAATTGGCTGGGATCCTTTACTAACTAGAGGAATTTGGGATATTTAAAGAACCATAAATTTAGGATATGTCTCCTAGATAACTTATACAGGTAATTCTTGTTTAGTGATTGCCTCGTCTAGCAACCATTCACAGTTATGACAGTGATGAAAAAGTAACTTTGCGACCAATCCTCGCATTTGCGACCTTTGGAGGTCTGTAAAGCAAAGGAAAGCTGAAGTAAGATCGTAAGCACAGTCACGGTTTCACTTACCGACTGCTTCACTTAATGACCGAGTTGCCGGTCCCAATTGTGGTCGCTAAATGCAGACTACCTATACCTGGAAATGAAAGAGTTGTAAAGAGAATACAGATATAAAGATAATAATGCATAGGTTGTAAGATGTTTTAGAGTATGTGAACTTAATTTCACTTAATTTAATCTCCCTTAAAGAGACTGAAAAAAAATGGAAAGATAATAATACTTTATGATCTGGGAAATAAGACTGTGTCACTCATGTTATCTACCAACAACTATCTGGTGAACATGAGTTTTTTTTATTTTTAATCCATTCAATTGTGTCCGATTCTCGGAGACTGCCTGGACATGTCCCTGCAGTTTTCTTGGCAAGGTTTTTCAGAAGTGGTTTGCCATTGCCTCCTTCCTAGGGCTGAGAGAATGTGACTGGCTCAAGGTCACCCAGCTGGCTCTGTGCCTAGGTGGGACTAGAACTCACAATCCCCTGGTTTCTAGCCTGGTGCCTTAACCACTACACCAAACTGTCTCTCATGAACATGAGATATTATGTTGTAAAGAGATTGGAACTCTATAAGTTTTCAGGCTTCAAAAACATATTGAGCTCTGCCGTGAAGCAGCTGATTCCATTTTGCTTGCTGCTTCAGACTGTAATAATAATAACAAAAACAACAACAATGTATTAGTTATTGATGCTATTTTGATATACAGACCTAATCCTCTGATGCTGACATGATGTGCTTGATTCTGTAACAAAAGTGTTCTAGGAAAAAGAGAGGAATACATCTTGCCTTAGAAAATACTTAAAACATAAACTACTGTTTATGTAGCATCCGTGACCCACACCCCAGGAAAAAGTGATGGTCTCCTTCAAAACCATACGTGTGTCCCATAATTGAAAAACTAACGGTTTTGCTAAAACAGAATCATATTAAGGAGAGGTTC